TCCAATAATGGATTGTGTTGCTGAACTGCTATAGGGTTCACCTCCTCGATTTCCCACTCTTGGATAGAGCTAGATTGCTTCAGATGATCCAAAGCACTTCCCACACGATCATTCCCCTTCTTTGTGTTTGTACTTTGCTCCCCTGCCTTATGTTCCAATCTTGCTAACTCTACTCCACCTTTNTGTTCTATCATTTGCTCCTTGTACTTCCATCTCTTCACTAGATTGTTTTGATCTGTCGATGCTTCTTTAAGTGCAAAGCAAATCCATTCCATTGCCTTTCTGCCCATGGATGATCTTCTCATCATGTTGCGACTTCTCTCAACCCATTCAAACCATGTGTCTTTGTTGGAGTTCCATCTGGTGATGTCGAAAGATTTGAATCTTGCGTTGAAATATATCCTGTTGTCTCCCATATTATACTATCCAGCTGCTCAGTTTTTGAAATTTAGAGGAAAGTTTTCGCAGTGAGCTAAAAAGTGTGAAAGAAAAAAGGAAACGGGAACCAGAAATCTGGACAGAAGGATTCCCGCCACCGGAAAAATAAACGTTGTCGGAATTCAGAAAGGATTGTATGAGTTTGGTCGGAAATACCCAGTGAGCATGCTGTCCAAAAAGAAATTTTTGAAAAGAGGTCAGGATCTTGCTCACGCGCCGGCGCGTGGCATTTGTCTCGCCGGAGACGAGCTGCGCGTGGGGGCGCGTGAGGGGTAATTTGTCGGAGCTATTTTCAGAGGGTTGGTCGGAATTTAGCTGGCGTGCTAATGGTGTTTGTGTAAACTCAGAAAACCTTGTTCTCAGGCTCCTCGGGGAGTGTGCCTGAGAGCTTAAGAAAGTAGAGAGAGAAATAATTAGATATACAAAAAATTGTCCATCAAATCGCGCCCATTTTCCCAAAATTGTTTTTAGACAAATCTCTGAAGATTGCAAATTCCTTTTCCTCTATCATACTGATATATACCTTTCTAGTTAACATTTGCTTCGTTGCTTCTGCAGGGGTTTGAGCAGGACCAGAATTTTTCAGTTCTGCAGCCCTTTTCTGTCGTTTTTCCTGCAGATGATATCATAAAGCAAAGTGTAAGCTAATTTCATGAGATCTCTAGAGCAACTATTGTGTATGAGAAATTTCACATGCATATTCTATTTCTCTAGAGCTTCCATCCTCTTTGAGCATTATAATATTTTATAACAAGACTAGCTTATACAACACTAAGAAACTAAAAATATCCCTTCTTCCTCATGAAAGGAACACGGAAACAATCTCAAGAGTTTGACCATTAAAAGAGATTGAATGTTTTTGTCTAACTTTAGATTATTGTACCCAAGCCTCGAGTCCTTAGAAATATAAGAGAAACCCACAAGACATTTTTCAAATATTTATTGTGTTTGCATATATCACTTAACAAATATATAAGGAACAAATATCAACTTCTTAACAACCATTGACATCAACAAAGTTACCCTTCTCTATAGTTTCTTAGTTCCTCAATATGACACATAGAGAATCAATTTTCACCAGGAAACAAACTCAAGATAAGTTCAGAATACAACCTTTCTTGATTTTGCAACATTATTATTAGCAGCAGCAGAAAGCTTCAGTGCAGCTTGCACATCCTCCGAACAGTTCGCTAAAATGGACTCGTCTGCCTTCTTTGCAGCTAATGCAGCTGCTTGCTTAGCTGCTTGTTCCTATAAATATTGATCAGCAAACTCACTCAGAATAAGGAACGGAAAGGCAGGTGAGGAAGTGAGTACGGACTACTGTTTTGTGATGAGAAAATCGTCGTGAAGATGGACCAAAGGGAGCAAAACACTCTTTGCTTAACCACGACGAACTTGGTAGAAGAGACCAAAGAATCACGAAAAATCCATAAGAAAAACTAAACCGAATTGATCTAGCATAACAAGAGTTCTATTATAATTGCTAATAGTTATATCAAGAACCGACAGTATATTCATTGTACTTCTTAATGTGTTTATAAATCCTACGACCACTATAGGACCTTGTGATCTACATTCCAACTTTACATGGTGTATATGCACATAATTAACTGAATCACCTCATATTCCGGGTTCAGTTTTTCCCAAATTATCTTCACGTAGCGCTTCTCCTCCTCATTGAAAAGATAACCGTTTACCTGACAGTAATGCAGGTACAGAGTAACAGCCACGACAAGTTAGTGAACCAGGAAATACATGCCCACAAATGAGCAACTAAATCCAGTTGGGTAAACTTCAAATCATAGAACACGTTGCAGCACATTCCGTTGAAGCAGCATAGTTTTTCATATAATTTGCTAACAAACTGTTATAACACAGAGTTCGCCTATCATGGGATGATGCTTTCTAAGCAAAGGATGAAAAGTAGGGTCAGTTAGTATCATACTATCATTTGCTAAGTATCATGTGAAGAGGTCTGGCAGGATGAAGTCATCATACTATCATTTGCTAAGTATCATGCGATGAGGTCTGGCAGGATGAAATCCGTCAAAAATCATAGCTTTTGCATCTATGCTGCCATAGGTTTATAAATAAAACTTACAAGGATTGTGACCATCCACTACTAAATGAAAACCAATATACAAGAAGCAGCACACCTCTACATCATCGATATCGAAAAAGTTCCCTGATTCATCATGACCATCAGGACCCATACAATCCGTGCCATGTAATGTATCAAGAGTCACATTATGCACAGCTTTAGCCCCTGAGATTGCCCCTGCATTTGAGAGAAAATAAGTCATTCTACGGTCCTGATCAGAACTCTGTGCCAACATTCTAACTCTGGAAGAAAATAAACATTTACCTATTTGATCAGACCCTGATATCTGCACATTTTTACTCCCGGTCACACTCTGAGTGTTTCCTCCCTTTTCAGGCTGATGATCAACCAAAAGAGAACACAAAGAGAATACATAAGGCACTATTCAGAAAGCTAGAAAATGCCTGCATATTTCCAGTAACCACCAACTAGATTCAAGAATTTGGTACTAGTGGTAATATGGCAGTGCCTATGGAAAGATTTCTCAAAAAGAAATCACATGGAAGGCTGGAAACTTTCTTAAATACCATCTAAAATTAAGAGCTTGATATCAGTGGGAGCAAATGTAGCAGATCCAAAAACAGTCAATTGAAAATTTTCAGAAACTGACTTGTGTCTTTTCCACCAGTCAAAAGCTTTCTTGTAAGCATAAAATTCTACTTCCCAAATACAAGGTAATAATGCTTTTGATAAGTAGCAGCTTCAATGAGTACCTCCAAATACTCAGCGCCATTATTCTTCACCTGATTGGACATGGAAAAATTTGGACCCGCAGGAGCTTCTTTTGCCACTAATCTTTCCCTCTCAGCACGTTGAAAGGCTGGAGGTTCAGATCCTCCATCAAGCCCACCTGAAAGTTTTACAAACTGCAAACACATGCATGAGCATTATATATGATTTAGCAATACTACTGAAAACTTAAAAAGGTAAGGGTACCAAGCAATTACATCACTGTAACAGCTTTCACAGAGACCATGGGCAAAGGGCAGCTTCACACTTCCCTTGTGTTCACATAGCACTTCCATGATCCCAGATCCTTTTGACCCCGAAGAAAGTTGCGGGGCCAGCTTCTCTTCTTTCTCAAGCTCCTCAGCTCTTGTATTGAACTCTTCAATCTAGTTTCAAGTAAGAAGTAATAGTATGAAACTAGGAAAGGAAAATTTTGTATAACAAGCCACTACCACGGATGCAATTTGCAACTCCAACATTAATGTGTCAAGAAAAAAAGACGGAATCAAAATTTTGTTTTGACTGTCAACAATAATATTTATGTCATCAAGCACATCAGGCTCATAAAAAATAGCCCATCACTAGGTGATGAGTTCTCCTGGACATGAGCATCAAATTGACCTAAAGCCTGAGGCGCCCAGCCCATGGACGAGTTCTTTTTAGACTCCGCTAGTAGAACAAGAGGGGGGAAAAAGAAGGAAGAAGTCAAAGGCAGGTGAAAATTAAAATCTTTTCCTAAGTGCAGGTATTGGGTGGCTTCATGACATACCAGAATCTGGTGACACTGTGACAGCATCAAGAAGAGCATTAAGAAACATAAATACTCATTAGTAGAGGCAAAGTTGTCAATCTCGCACTCAATGACATCAGCAAACATCTCCCTGTACTTGATGTGTACGCAAACACAAGTTTTACTATATTGGTTCCAGCATTGGTAACAAATTAAGTTATACACCTTGTCCATGCCAACTTTAAGATAAGAATCCCAAAGCCCATTATGCTTGTTCCCCCTTGAGATGCATGCCTTTCTTCCTTGTGTTTTCAGTGTTCACGAGATATCCAACTCAAAGATAACTCAAAATTTGAGCATGACAGAAGCATCTCACTATACTACATTGCTTTTTAAGACTCTAATTTAATAGCTGGGCCCCTTCCCAATAAAAACAAAAGGACCTGCAGACATGCTTAAATATGTGAGAATGCACGGGAGAAAAGTCTATTATTAACAATGATACAATGAGTCCTATATATAATACATCTTCTACTCCTACTACATATGGGATTAGGACATATTCTACTCCTGTTACATGTGGGACTATGACATATTCTATTCCTACTATATATAGGACTAGGACTATTTACACATAACTATCTAACACTCCCCCTCAAGCCAGTGCATAAAAATCATATGTACCGAGCTTGTTACATATGTACTAATACAAGGCCACTAGATCCCCCGAGCAACAAAACCAAGTGGTTACTGATAAGCAGAAGTTGGCCAAAAGGTCGTCGGAAAAATTTGAAAATAGTGAGATTAAGCCGAATTCCACACTAAAAATTAGGTTTTAAAACACAAGAAAACAGAAACTTTTATGAAATTACTGTTCACAGCGGAAATCACAGTTCACGCCAGAAAAAAAAAAGTTGTCAGAATTTGATGTAATTTATATGGGTAGGCTCGGAATAACTGGACGAGCAAGTTGTCCTGAAGAAATTTTGTCAAAAAGTGCCCGGAATGGTACACACGCGTCAGAAAAGTTATTGTAGCTCGTCGATACCTTAGTTCTGGCAGCGCGTGGAAGCACGTGCTTTCTGCCAGAGCGATTGACTGAGGTTTTGTCACCTAACTTTTCCGAACAAGATGCTAATGCTGGTTTTCGCACAACACTTACGGATGAGGAGATAACGCAAATCAATCTTAAGTCGTCAACCGGAAAGACGCACGGTGACTAACTTTTCTTTTCAGATGGGACTGGAATTTTTGGGGTTTGATCGCACAAGGGTTTTGGATCTGATGGTGGTACTGATATATGCATAGTACCACTAAAGCAGTGATAAACCCTGGGAACAAGACGAAGTTGCCGGAAAATTGCACGGCGATGAGATCTTTCTTCCCGGATGTCGTTGGGATGACGCACAACAATAATTTTCTCACTGAAGCTCCGATACCATGTGAGAATGCACGGGAGAAAAATCTATTATTAACAATGATACAATGAGTCTTATATATAATACACCTTCTACTCCTACTACACATGGGATTAGGACACATTCTACTCCTGTTACATGTGGGACTATGACATATTCTATTCCTACTATATATAGGACTAGGACTATTTACACATAACTATTTAACACTCCCCCTCAAGCCGGTGCATAAAAATCATATGTACCGAGCTTGTTACATATGTACTAATACAAGGCCACTAGATCCCCCGAGCAACAAAACCAAATGGTTGCTAATAAGCAGAAGTTGGCCAAAAGGTCGTCGGGAAAATTTGAAAATAGTGAGACTAAGCCGAATTCCACACTAAAAAATAGGTTTTAAAACACCACAAGAAAACATAAACTTTTATGAAATTACTGTTCACAGCGGAAATCATTGTTCACGCCAGAAAAAATAAAAGTTGTCAGAATTTGATGTAATTTATATGGGTAGGCTCGGAATAACTGGACAAGCAAGTTGTCCTGAAGAAATTTTGTCAAAAAGTGCCCGGAATGGTACACACGCGTCAGAAAAGTTATTGTAGCTCGTCGGAACCATAGTTCTGGCGGCGCGTGGAAGTACGTGCTTTCTGCCAGAGCGATTGACTGAGGTTTTGTCGCCTAACTTTTCCGAACAAGATGGTAATGTTGGTTTTCGCACAACACTTATGGATGAGGAGATAACACAAATCAATCTTAAGTCGTCAACCGGAAAGACGCATGGTGACTGACTTTTCTGTTCAGATGGGACTGGAATTTTTGGGGTTTGATCGCACGAGGGTTTTGGATCTAATGGTGGTACTGATATATGCATAGTACCATTGTAGCAGTGATAAACCCTGGGAACAAGACGAAGTTGCCGGAAAATTGCACGGCGATGAGATCTTTCTTCCCGGATGTCGTTGGAATGACGCACAACAATAATTTTCTCACTGAAGCTCTGATACCAGGTGAGAATGCACGAGAGAAAAATCTATTATTAACAATGATACAATGAGTCCTATATATAATACACCTTCTACTCCTACTACACATGGGATTAGGACATATTCTACTCCTGTTACATGTGGGACTATGACATATTCTATTCCTACTATATATAGGACTAGGACTATTTACACATAACTATCTAACACTCCCCTTCAAGCCGGTGCATAAAAATCATATGTACCGAGCTTGTTACATATGTACTAATACAAGGCCACTAGATCCCCGAGCAACAAAACTAAGTGGTTGTTGATAAGCAGAAGTTGGTCAAAAGGTCGTCAGGAAAATTTGAAAATAGTGAGACTAAGCTGAATTCCACACTAAAAAAATCGGTTTTAAAACACCACAAGAAAATAGAAACTTTTATGAAATTACTGTTCACAGCAGAAATCACTGTTCACGCCAGAAAAAATAATTGTTAGAATTTGATGTAATTTATATGGGTAGGCTCGGAATAACTGGACGAGCAAGTTGTTCTGAAGAAATTTTGTCAAAACGTGCCCGGAAAGAAAAGTTATTGTAGCTCGTCGGAACCCTTGTTCTGGCGGCGCGTGGAAGCACGTGCTTTCTGCCAGAGCGATTGACTAAGGTTTTGTCGCCTAACTTTTCCGAACAAGATGGTAATGTTGGTTTTCGCACAACACTTACGGATGAGGAGATAACGCAAATCAATCTTAAGTCGTCAACCGGAAAGACGCACGGTGACTGACTTTTCTGTTCAAATGGGACTGGAATTTTTGGGGTTTGATCGCACGAGGGTTTTGGATCTGATAGTGGTACTGATACATGCATAGTACCACTGTAGCAGTGATAAACCCTGGGAACAAGACGAAGTTGCCGGAAAATTGCACGGTGATGAGATCTTTCTTCCCGGATGTCGTTGGAATGACGCACAACAATAATTTTCTCACTGAAGCTCTGATACCAGGTGAGAATGCACGAGAGAAAAATCTATTATTAACAATGATACAATGAGTCCTATATATAATACACCTTCTACTCCTACTACACATGGGATTAGGACATATTCTACTCCTGTTACATGTGGGACTATGACATATTTTATTCCTACTATATATAGGACTAGGACTATTTACACATAACTATCTAACAAAATACATGCACCTTAAGCTTTTCAAACAGAGAATATTAAAGTATCAGCGGTGTTCATCCTACCAGCTTTGATGGTACATACCGTTAAGCTCCCAGATTCTGTGTTTTCAAATTCAATCAAACGCTTGGTCAATGTTGTTTCACAAATGTGTACGACTTTGATCTGTTCACCAAATGAATAAAGAAAATGAGAAAAGGAAATATCATGTTTCTTGTGCTATGTCACCATAAACAATAAATGTGGGAGTCGAGCCAGTGTTTATGCTACATAGGAATAAGTCAAGAATGTAAAATGAAAACAGTTGTCAAGTCCAATAACGAGAATGACCAAGAACAAGTCCTTGAAAACTAGCTAAAACACGAAGAGTTTCACAGAGCAGAATAAAACTTTTTCTAATGAGGTAAGATGTTTTCATTAAAAGGCATCAAGCAGATGCAAAGCTTACAAAAGAGAGATTTGGTCAGCTCAGATTGCACAAAAGACCAGGAAATCTTACTTTCACACACATTATATTACTTTTCAGATATACTTAAGTTGAAAGCGGAATAAAGCTTACAACATGAAGCCTGTCTATACAGAAATCTGAATTCTGACCATCAATATAAAGGATATCTAGAAAAAAATCTCAATTCTGACCATCAATATAAAAGAAATCTGGAAAGACCACTTACAATTTCTGATTTAGAACAACTCAGTCCATGCGAAAGAGCAGCAATGTACAGTGCAGCTCCGCATACCCCACTTGGCTTTCTCCCTGTCTATAGACAATTTATGGATTAGTGCAAAAATGTAAGAGATCTAATCTAGTTCCATAGAATTAATCCAGTAACTTTCACACACTAAATTATACGCAAAGAAAAATCATGTAGAACCTGCATCCAATCACGCTTCATGCTGGCCACAATGTGAAGTGCAGTTCTAGAAATATTTGGCTTCCTTCCCCCAAATAAACCTACATTAAAAATTGATAGCTTCACTAGTGGACTCTGACAAGCTAACAGCAATCTTGTATCTGAAAAAGAATAAGTACAGAAAGGAAAGGAAAATAGAGCTAAAGGCAACATAGTAAGTAAGGTGTAATCGCGAAGATACCCCACAGGTACAACAAGTTTCTGGATGGAACAGGATAAAAAAAAAATCTTTTGCACATACCAATCAAGAGATGTGCATTACTGTGCAGGAAAATTGAGGTAACATGTACTTTATATATGAAAATAAGATAACAGATCAGAAGAACACGAGAGGGATGAAAATATAATTGCCTTCGTCCAATAATTTGGGATTACTTGATACCAAGAGTTGGTTCATGATTTATTTTACTTGATGGGATATGGGAAGCACATAATAATGAAGTTGTACAATATATGCAAGTTGTATGCTATATCATTGGCTCAAAATAAGGGGAAAAAAGATGCAACCAGATTCCAACTAATAAGCATCCACATTAAAATAACTTGCCAGAGCAACGGGCAGAAAAATCATGCTTGGAATAAAATCCTTATTATTCAAGATCTTTAAACATCTCACAACGAAAATCCAAAATGTAATCAAGAATGCAAAGTGGAAATTAAAAAATATATAAACTATTGCCACAATGTTGGTACCTGGGGCAAGGTGGTCAAGAAAGAAGCTAAGATTAAAATTAACCAGCAAATCAGATCTGGATAAGTACTTACGATCAGTGAATCGATGAATGAAAAGGCTAGGATCCACAGGTTTTTGAACAAACGGGCGATTTTCAAGGCTTAGAAATTTGCAAAGCTGTAAGAACACAGCACCTAAAATATACCTGCATTTCAAAAGAGAAAAAAGGTTGAACAGGCTTCAATTACCATATTAAAGATAGTGATTAGGTAAATGTTTTCCCAAACTGTCCAACTTTAGGTATAACCCTTCATGTATGACAAAAATACAATAAGACCTGCCTAGACTAGGATATTGTTCTAGAGTTGTAAGGAGGCTATGTACTAAGAAACCTCCAGAATCTGCAAATCAAGATTAACAATTTATGAAGTCAATAATGTGCGACAGGTCACCTAGATTTTTCTGATAGGAAAAAGGAACTTGTTGAGGTTAGAGAGAAGAGGTACTGCAGTAAAGAAAAAACTGTGCTCAAATACAAAAGCCAGAATATACTAAATAAGCATATTACCCAGTAACTTCCTCAAAAATCATCTTTTCATCTGTCCTAAATTTCCTTCCCACACAAAAGAAGATATTATGGGTGTGTTTGGTATGAAGGAAAATGTTTTCCTAGAAAATGTTTTCATGGAAAATGAGTGGTTTTATCACTTATTTTCCCTTGTTTGGTTGGTGAGTAGAAAACTTTTTCCGGAAAATATCTTCTAGTGTTTGGTTAGAGAGCAAAAAATATTTTTTTAGTGCTACTCTCCTCACCCCCCTTTCTCCAAGTCCCCATGTTTCCTTCCTTCATACCAAACACACCCTATAACTCCTTTATCTTTCTCAAATCCAACATTGAATACTACTTCACATAAGGCTGCTTTCATTTCTAGCCAAACACGAAGCAAGATTCGTCTAATTTACTCTAATCACACAAGTTTCACACATAAGATCTGGTTGACAATATAACTACAAGAAGGATCTAAGGGGTAAAAAGAATATCATCATACTGGACAGGATGATAAGAACTCCTGACCTAAAGGGGATCATTAAGTTCTTGCTCAAGATTATCGATCCAAAGTGTTTATCAAAAGAAGAATGAAAGAAAAAGACTACTAAGACTTTTGTAGAAGTAAGCTCACATACACATTTATCCTCAAGTAATCAGAAAAGTCAATGAGTAGGAATGGCTTGTTGACTTCCCTGCAAGAAAAATAAACATAAAGACACACCAATTTGTCACTGGTAAAGTAGTTCGGACCAACAAAAATTACAATAAAAGCTTGAATCAAAACTATATCTGTCCTAATTACTCTGTCAATGTATGTCCTAATGACAAAACTTTTGTTGCTTTGTTATCCCTATGTGCTGCATAATATAGTTAGTAGTTTCATCCACAATTAACCAGGTCAAGATTTATAATCTTTTAGTTTATCCCTGTTAAATATGGCAAAACCATATACTACGTAAATATGGAAGATTCTCAAATCCCCTTAATTAGGATATTAGAAAATTTTGTAGGAATGTAATTATTGTCTTTATTTTCATTATTATTTGTATTTCTTGTAAAGGTTATTTAAACCCCAAAGCTTGAAGAAATAATCAAGCAAGTTATTCCTGAATTCTCTTCTTCTCTTCATATTTTTCACATGGTGTCATAGCTAAGGTTTTCGTCTCATATCTTCTTTCTCTAATATTTAATTTTTTTCTTAAGTTCTCTGTCCTCTTCTCTGTTTCTTCCCTGTTTCTGCACATCTTTGCTTTTTGCTCTATCCTTCCTTTTTATAAAGGTCAGTTAAAAAGGGTGATAACAATAAACCTGAAAATCAGATGGTTGCAAACTAAATTTTTTCTTCCACATCATCACCTACGATTACCACAGTAAGTTAGATCATAGTGGCAATTATACTTCTTGGGCTGCTTCTGTAGAATTTTGGTTTGTAGGTCAAGGATGTGAAACTATAGTGAGTAAAGGTGTTAAAATGGGATAGCGTAGACCTAAAAGCACATGGAAGAAAGTTGTCTCGAGAGACCTACAAATCTCTGGAATTAATACAGACTTAGCTAAAGATATGACGGAATAGAAGTAAAAGATCTATCTAGGTGATATCAACTAGTGGGAGTAGGTTTTAGACTTGTTACAGAACTTCTAATATTATTATCATCATTATCCCACTTCTTCCTTTCCCTTAGGGAACATAAATAGGTTGAAAAGAATATATCATAAACACAATGTCTCACCTACATATAATGTAAACACAAGCAGCCTCAACTTGCTCTTTCCTACGCCCCCTTGTGAAATTCCTCTCAACTGCTATCTGGAAGTAACATATTCAGCCATAGAATGATATCATGCTAGTAGAGGTGTGCATAAGCCATAAAGAATCATACTGTATAGAGGTTCAAAGCTGGACGAGCTATTGAATCACCACCATCAATTCCTAATGCATAAATCATACTCTCTATACCATTATATGCTGCAGGAAGGGGGAGTAAATAAATGTATCAGAAAGAACTCCATACTTAAGAATTATATTGATATCAAAGGCCGATCTAATGTATTCTCAAACCAAATTGGTGCTACATAGGCACATAGCTACATAGCTTGTGCACCTCTATGAATTCTTAACAACATTAATCTATCCAACAAGCTATAATAGCTCCATGAATAACGCAACTCTAACTGCAGTGTTATACTTGGTCCTTCAACAAAACCTCTTCCTTGACAAACATATCTGGATATAGTTGTCACCAATCAACAAGAACAAAAAATATTATTTCATTTGCATCTTCTTTTATTTTTTAATTGGTTACTTTATTTATGTTAAGAAAATTCCTTGTACCTCACTCAACTCCAGAAGCTAGCTCAGGGGTGAGAATTGCAAAAAAATCATATAAAGAGACAACAGTTCATTCTCTCATCATCTCTCGCATGCACATGCCTAGTCAATTGGGGAGTGGACAATATAACATGGGGACCATCATTCGGTAAACCAAGAAGATAATTGGGTTGGCTCTAATACGATGTAAAGAAATGGCCCTCGAGCCTAACTCAACCTCAAAAATTAGTTCATGAGGTGAGGATTATCCGTGACCATATAAGAGACAACAACTCATTCTCTCAACCAATGTGGAAAAATCTAACAATTTACATAGTCTATCATTGTCATCATTTGGGGTTATTTTTTCTTTTATTCTTATTTTTTTTTGTGATAAGTAAAGATTTTATTTAACTGGTGCCAAGATAGTACAGAAGAAATTACAAGATAGTTGCAGGTCTTAATTAGTTCATCCTACATAGTGCCCCCCAAGTAAGTGCAAAAATCCAAATACTGGTCCATCTTATCTACAGTACTACTATAACACAAGAAGTACAAGTTTTTTTCAGGGATTTATTTCAACTCTGGGAATCTGCAGCCTCTTTCCTTCAAAGCATGCCTTGTTCCTTCCCAACCATATGGTCCACAGAATGCAATTTGGAATGGTCCTGCATATTTGCTTTAAGCTTCTTTTGATCTTCTGTGATTGCCATATTTCCAACAAGTTGCATATCTTCTGTGGTAACACCAAATATATGCCCATTATTCTCAAGAAAAGTTCCAAGCATTGCCTTGAGAATATACAGTGCAAGAAAAGGTGCTCAACTGTCTCCTCTTCTGAATTACAAAGATAACATCTGCTACTCAAGTAGAAACCTCTTCTCTGCAACTTGCGTTGAGTTAGACAAGCATCCCAAGCTGCTAGCCAACCAAAAAATGCTGCTTTCACTAGTGTTTTAGTTCTCCAGATCATCTTCCAAGGCCAATTCAGATGTTCCCTGACTATTTTCCTCTATCAACATTTTATAACAGTGATTCACTGTGAATCCTTGTTGTTAACCCAAACAAGCCTATCTACTTTGTTCTGATCCAGTGAGCATGAATTCAGTTCGAGACTGAATTAAAGCCTACAATAACTACCTTCCTTATTCACAACACAATTAAATAGCTCTGAGAACCTGCTTCTGAAATTCTCATCTCCACACAAGGTATCCAGCCAGAATTTTATCATGCCATTATTTGCTACCTCCAGTATAGAATGCAATAGGAATTCATCCAACCCTCCGCTTATCATCTTCCAAATTCCCCCACAACTTTTCAACTGTGAAGGATTTTGTTCCACCCAATCTTAGCACCACAAGCATCTATCATATTCTGCGAAGTCTTCTTCCTCCCATTGTTGTATCTCCATAGCCACTTGAAAAGAAGACTTTTATTGTGTAAACACAGGTTGCTCACTCCTAATACCCTTTTTTTCTTATCTTCAATAACTATTTGCCACTTGACTAAGTGTGTCTTTTTCTTATCTGAATTTCCGACCCACAGAAAGTTCTTATAGAATCTAGTTTCCTTCCAACTGCTTTGGGCATACTGAATAAAGACATAGTATAAGTAGGTATGCCATCCAAGACACTATTAATTAGTGTCAGCCTGCCCCCAAATATTCTTATCTTTTCTTTTCACCCCTAAAGGCAATCTCAAGCAGATTGTAGGGAATTTTTCTACTTTACAGCCCAGAATGTCTGCCAACTCCTCTACATATTCATTAACAATTATGCAGAAAATGATGCTGGTTTTGCTAGGTTGCCTCTTAGCCCAGTAACGACTTCAAAGCATAGAAGAACCCCTCTCAAATACAGGATTTGGACTCTATCAGCTTCACAAAATAACAAAGAGTCATTAGCATACAGGATATGATTAAGAATCATACTTTGCTGGTCATTCCTACCTATTTGAGACCCCTAATCCAACCCATGACTTCTGCTTTCCTCAAAATGACGCTCAGAATTTCCATTACCAGGACAAACAAATAAGGTGTCAAGGGATCTCCTTGTCTGATACCTTTGTGAGAACTGAAAAACCCATAAGGACTACCATAAATTAGAATATAGAATTTCGCTGTCGAAATGCAGAATTTTATTCATTTCTCACCAAAATTCATCAGCCTCATTATGTCAACTAAACATTGCCAATGAGCATGATCATATGCCTTCTCTAAATCAAGTTTACATGCCACCCTTTTTTTTTCCTTTCTCCACGACAAATTGTCTAGGTTTTCATTAGCTATCATAACACATCTGTGACTTTCCTTCCTTTGATAAAAGCATTCTGATTAGGGGAGACCAACTTGCTTATTACTTCCTTGAGTCTTTCAAATAATTTTGTAATCACTCCCTAATAGACTCTCAGGTCTGAAATCATTCGCCTTCATTACTCCTTTCTTTTTAGGGATTAGAGCAATAGAAGTGGCATTAAGTCTTTTAACAAGAGAGCCCTTATTGTAAAATGTACCCATAACATTCCAAATGTCCATTTTTACTATACTCCAACATATTTGAAAAAAAAAATTATAAACTGAAACCATCAGGACCAGAAGCCTTGTCTCCTTTGAAAGATTTAATCACCTCTTCCAGTTCCTCCATTATGAAAGGCCTTTCCACCCACTCCTTTTCTTCATCTGACATCTTCTCAATTTCATCATCCTCCCATTTAGGCCTCCATTGCTCAGGTTCATATAATAGATTCTTATAAAAATCAATAAAGTGAGCTTCAATAACTTGGTCATCTTCCACTAAATCATTCCCAATCACCAGTTTATCGATATTGTTAATCTTTTTCGAGCATTTGCCTGCTTATGAAAGAATTTTGTATTTTTGTCTCCATGTTCCATCAACAAACATCTAGACTTATGTCTCCAAGAGATTTCTTCAACCTTTGCCACTTCTTCTAGCTGTTTCTTAAAGGAAATTCTTTCTGCCATAAATTTTGCGTGCTGCTCTGTGGTAACATTCACCCTATTATGATCCAGCTCCTCCAATTAATTTTTTTTTTTTTTTTGATAAAGTAAGTGATTTCAGTAGACTGCATCAAGAAGATGCAAGAAGTACATGATTTGGCATTTGAGCTTACAAAAGATAAGCATGGCTCCTATACATAATTGACTAAGCCAAAGCTAAAGAACTAATAAAATCCAAAAGATGATCAATATTGTTGACAGGGTACGGTCTAGACCTGACCAGCAAAACAAATTGGAAATACACAGAGCTTTTAAAGAACCTATAGGAGTTGAGTTTCCATCAAAACACCTCATGTTTCTCTCAGTCCAAATGCACCAAAAAATACAAGCCCATTGACCAGATTTTCATGATGGCTTTATCAACTCTCCATAAACTCCAGCTCTTATAAGCATCATCGACTGTGTAAGCCCATTGGAGACCAATAAGGCAAAAAAAAACATGCACCATATCCAGCTCCTCCAATCTTGCCAAAGCTTTATTCTTTCTGTCTTCTAACTTTCCAAAAGTCTACTTAAACCACGTTTTCAGATCTTCCTTCAATAGCTTCAACTTATTTGCTAGAATTGTGTCAGCTTCCACTTCCACCACATAAGAATCCCACCAATTTTTAACCAAATCAGTGAATCCTTCATGTTCAAGCCACATATTCTAAAACTTAAAATAACCTTTTCCTTTGAATAATAAACATGAATTGAAATGAGGACCATTGTGAAAGAACATTCAAATTCAACCGTACTGTAGAAAGACATAACAAGTTCTATTGAAAATTGAGAACTAGAACAAACATCTAATCAATCATTCAGCTAAAAATAGAATGATAGAACATTTCCATATAAAGGAAAAAGAATGATAGAAATTATATAAATAGGTAACAACGAGCATAAAGTCTTTTATTGCACCAAGGAAGGGTGAAAGGGGAAGGAAATGTTGCGCTACTGATGAAGTTTGAACCCTCCACCCGTGATCATCAGTCATTCTGAAAACACAACAATCAAAGGTACATAAGATACCTTCATTTAGTGTTCTTTCCCGTGAAGCTGAATAGACACTTTGAACAGTCCTCACGAAGTTACCTGCCAATTGACTCTGCAGATGATTTAAGTTAGACTCGATAGAAAACAAATTGAATACTATACTTTACAAGACAGCACATATAGAACTTGTTCAATGATTGCACCTTAAACCTAAGCTTGTTTTGTTCCTCAGTTGCATTTTAGTATCATTTATCTCCTCATTTGAGCTTATATTTAAAATATAAAATTATTGATAAAGGTATTAATATTAAAATTAAAAGGAACTACATTAATATTAAAAGCAAGGTCATTCATCAGGCTACAAGATGCACACATGTACAAAAGCATGCAAGTTGACTCCATCTTCCAACTTCTCCCCGCCCACAAACATATGTTTGGGATGAGGATCCATTTGCCGCCCAACTGAAGAGTCTTAGATGTAGCTTTTATTTTCTTTTTTGATATGTAAACCATGCCACAAAACATCCTACCCAGGAGCCACATAGTGGTTTTTTCCAATTTGCTCTCTTAGTAACTCAAACCCAACCTCATGGTTGGAGGTGATTGGCCTTTTACTAGGCTATCACTCCCTTGTCACATCACAGTAATATTAATAACGAATTCTACATCAAGTATAAAACTTATTTCCACCACATGCATCTTCTTCGAGCTCCACCAATCACATGATGAGACACAAATTTTCAACAACTAAAGTTAGCATTTTTAACCTACCGAGTAAGAATTTAAATTGGCCAAGACACAAGAAAGGCCGTGAGGAAAAAAGGTTTCTTGTATTGTCTAGTTTCTAGAATCCTATATATACTTTCAGCTCAAAAGATATCTTAGGTATTTGACGATAACATTTTGTTTTTTAACTTTTTATAATGGTGATGTTCGGCAAGCTTGTGCAATCTCGTCTAATTTACCGTGTACCTATTACCTTCCACCACCAGCACAGATACTGAAAACTCCATCCACCAAGGCTTAGGACTAGGGAACAAATCACCGAGCATTTTTTTATCTACCCTGGGATATGAACCCTGGTCTAACATGGTTTTTACCCACTCTATTGACCGCTACACCTCACCTTTTTATGAAATTTTATTAACTTTCTAACCACTTCTTGCATTACACCTTAAAAACTCCTTTTAACAAATAATAAATATGACATTAATCCTGATTAAGCACACTGTCCAAACTACAGGATATCAATCCATTCAAATTACATATAATTGAATTTGAAAAAAGAAAAAAAACAGAACTGCATAAGATATATCAACCCCATGACAAGAATATGAAATAAAGAACAAACCTGTCCAGTAGCATTCTTAACAAAAGTGGGCTCACTTGAAAAATTATCTTCATCAACAACTCTTCCACATGAGGGACAACATCTATAACGTAACGAAACGAAGCATCTTCATAAGTTTAGGAGTATTATAATGTAGAAAAAGAACAACATTGGGAGATGAAGCTCACATTTTGCCATCCACAGAGTCGGGTCGACTGATGTTCTTTGCACAATATACGCAATATACCATGTTCAGAATTACCTGAATCGACTAAACGAAATACCATCTTGTGAAAATTTGTTGAAACGACCAACAAAATCAACTCAAAAAAAGAGAAATAATAATGCTGGTAAATATTGGGTTCTTAAGTTAACCAATTAATTTCAGTTTTAACTTGGAATATGACATCAATAAAATATACCAAAGGAATAGAAAAACAAAATTTTACAGAAAAATTCTTTTTTTCGTCGATCACCATGCAAACCCAGAAATAAAAAATACTCAAATCAGAGAATAATAAAAACAGAGAACCCACTTTGCCGAAACTCAAACCAGCATATATACACACACCGATTAACCACATATTCTTATACTTTAAAAAGAGAGAAATCGAAGCAAGGAACTTGAAAAAGTAATATTAAGTACAGTGTTTTAAACTAAACTGAAAAGAATACAAAAAAAAAAAAATAGGAAGAAGAAACCTGTTCAGAAGAGGAGAAAGCTTTTTTACTTGGTTGTTTGAACTTTGAAGAGAAGCTTTGGGTAGAAGACAAAAAAGAACGAATTTAAAAAATAAAATAAAAAGTAGGGCTAAGAATAAAATAAAATAAAAGTTTGACAGTTTGACTTTTTAACTTTTTAGTAGTCAATTTTTTTGGTCAAACTTTTAAACTTTTTTTTAACGAAGTAAGAATATTTATATCCGCTAATTCTTTTGGACTCCAGAACTAGACCTATCTATAGAACTATTTGACTAATTAGTTAACAAAACTTCCTATAACAATTACATTGAACTATATTAATTAGAAAAATTCTTCAATCTTTCCAGCCACTTTGCTTCACTTTGCCCTGTGATATGCAGCTAATGCTGCTC